TGCATGCGGGAAATTTGAATTTTAGCCGATGAATCGACGATGGAAAACGTTGGCAACGTTTTCCATCGTCGATTTTAATCGACTTAATCGAATAATTGTTGCAGCTCTAACGAATACCAATTTCCAATAACAAAAATTTTTGGATGCATCCAAATTTCTTTCCCGAATTAGGTGTTATTGTGTTAAGCATTAACTTTAAAAAAAATTAAAATCAAATGGTGTTTTCGCTAGCGTTAGTATGTCCCTGGTGTTATCCTAAGCCTGGAATTCTTGGCATGATAGAAGCTTACACTTCTTGCTATTGGCAATCTACCCACATTACACCTGATTTTCTGGCGAGGCACAGTAGAGATTTGAGGAAAGAAAAGGTGGCTTGCTTTTTTTATTTTATTTATTATAAAACTTCTACCTGTTCTTTAGTTCAAATGAAGGGCAGGGGATGTTTTAACTCGTGCATAGAGGTCATTTCTAGCCTTCATGAAGCAACAGGTGTGGATGAGAAAAATTTAAAGTAGGTTACTGTCATTAATCTTTGTATGTTCATAACACCACTATATGCTGTTAATGATTGACTGAACATTGTATGAACTAATGACTCAAATGTGACGACTCTAAACTGATTCTGTAACTAAACAGTGCAGTACCAGAAGCATCAATGGACATCACCATCTCTGATAACTGCCAGTAAATCCTCTCAGTGGAGTTTCTGATGAGCATCTTTTAAGCATCATCTTGAAATGGTTTAAGTGTATACAAAGCCATAACTGTTATTTTAGTACTGAATATAGTAGGGAGTGGGTTCAAACCCTGAGAGGTCCCCCACCTGCCCTTTTCTGTATCTCATCAGTGATATCTCCCTCGTTTCCATCACCAGAGACACAGCAGAAAGGAAGACAAATCCCCTTAGTTGTTGCGGGAACCAGTGTCCCTTTTGGAAGGTTTCCCCTCACCTCCTGTTTCTTTGACTCTAAGCACGTGTTGAATTAAAGTTAAAAGTACAAAAACGCTGACAGGACGTTTATGAAAGAAGAGACCCTGTCCTAAATGATGCCTTCCTGCCTGTCGGCGTTTGTGTGCATTGAGCCACACATGCAGACCTTGTGCACAAGCTCGGCAAGGTCCTGCGCCAAAATGAAGTAACTCCCATGCACATGCATGGGAATTACATCAGCCTGACCAATCAAGAAGCTGAAGATGCTGAACCAGGAAGTAGACCGGGTGAAGATAGAAGCACCGGTGGAGGAAGAGAGTGATGACATTGCAGCACCAAAGGGAATTGCCTGGAATGTAAGTTGTCCATAATCTGCTAATATATTGTGCAGAAACTAGCACATTATGGGGAAACCTCCTGGGGGACCAATATTCTGATGTAGTTATTGGCTGTTTACTACAGCTTTAAAACCTGACCCGGTTTTTACTCTTCTGTATTTTATTCAAAATGTAACAAAAAAATGTTTCCTTTTACATACTTTAATATAACAGGAATTTAACACAGTTGACTACTTGTCTCAAAACATGAGTTGGTTTTAGAAATGTTATTTTACCCAACAAATATTTGTCAAGTGGAAATCTTCTGTCACTGTCTCCACATTAAAAGAACCAATGTCCACACTTTTTATTTAAGAAAATTTATTGAAATCCAGAAATTGTGTATAGATATATATTAAATCTTTTTCTTTGATATTTTAATGTTTCATTATAAAAGAAAAAACGTAAGCCTCTTTAAAACAAAGAGGTTGTTGGCAAATACACAAGAAATGATTGACTTTTCTATATTTCTTTTTCTTTGAAAATAGCTACCTGCTGTCTAGAACTGTATGGTATTAATCACTAACATAAACGGTTTTAAACCCAGATGCCTTTCTCATCTGCCAGAAGGGTGCACAAAGAATCTCCAATGCCAAGGAGTTCTCTTCATTATATTCATACATGAATGCTTCTTCCTGGCTTTTCATGAAGATGAGTTTGTTAGCAGCGCTGTGAAGCATATGAGAGAAGATTTGTTGCTGACTAGAAGCCTGGTGATTGAAGACTATGAAATATGAGGCTTATCTAATAACTGCAGAGTAATGATGTGCAATGAAGTTTCCCATAAGTACAGCATCTTCCACCTAATGCAACACTCGGTATATGCCCATTCACCAAATCCTCTCCAAATATCATCTTGTCAGCAATACACTCCTGACAAGTTCAATAAAAGGTATTTCAGGACCGATTCCTACTTCTTTTTCTGCCACCTGCATAGTGAAATATTGTATTAACAATAGCTGCTTTTACAAACAATTTGTCTCCATGATTTGAACTTAAGCCCGCCTCACGTCAGGTCCCTTTTCTCATCTGTTCTGTCACTTTTTTCTTTATTATAAAGAGGGGGCAGGTACATTGTATTCCGTCATAGTGATAATAGCAGAAAACGCTAGTAGTCTGTGATTTCAATACTGTAAGACACTGAACTGGGACAAGCATGACGATCAGTTCAAGTGAAGTCAGAACTCCTAAATAGTGTAATTGTTCTGGAAAAGTAACAAAGCATTGGGGCTCTTGCAGACAGCCACCAATGTATGTTTGCCGCCAGGGAACCCCGGGTCCTGTGTACAGTCTCCCTTTTGGAAGTCAATGGTTGTATGTGGTTATACAGTACATTGGACTTGCATATGGGAACATTACCCCGAACATAGGCAGTTTGCATTTGGGGTTGTCCACACTTACACATGCACATGTTTATGAATGTCCGGCAAACAACCATTGACGTCTATGGGAGGCTGTATGCCACACCTGGGGCTCCGTAGCAGCGGAAATACACCAGAATTTATGTTTGGCCAAAGGAGGCTGTGTACAAGAAAATGTATTTTCCACTTCTGCAGTCAGACTTAAGAAACACAACGATATGTTCTGATTCACACAGCATACCTACAAAGAATTGTTCATAAATATTTCTTACCTCTTAGTAGTTTCTATGGTGAAGGTATTTGTCCTGATTTCAAACTACTCTGAGCAGTTTGAATTGAATGTGGAGGGACAGACTGAGCTTCCTCTTGTTAACATGCTATGCTTTTAAGTCTTTCTTTAACCCTTGTTAGGACAGTATCCAAATCTAGTTCACAACGGATAATGTAATATTCCAGCACAGTAAGGGACAGGGTTCATTGCAGTATACATAACTTCCACTCCAGCCCCCTCCTCACCATTATATAGTGAAGTTAGGTAGGATTTTAAGCAAGTACAAAGCACTCAAAATGTAAGCATCATATGCAGTGTGAATGAGAACCTAACAAATATAAAAGGAGGTCTTATCCCGATTTGACTGCAAAAGTGAACATACACTTTAAGAGCGGCATGACAGCCAGTAGCCAAGTCTTTCTGAAAGCAAAGGTCAGCAAAGGCAGCTTCCACAATTTTTGAATATAGAATTCCTTTCATTTGGTGAAATAACGGTGAGTGGAAACGGTGAGAAAGCAAAATGGTAGTGTATGGAGGAAAATGATAATGATAAAGAGCTTTCCTCTTCAGTTTGTTCAAGTTAAGGTTTGGAAATGAAAGGTGGATGCTGATTGGTTGCTATGTCCAACTGCTCCTGACTGGTAGGTTACATGGCTTGCACAGCAGTCGATGATAACAATGGATTCCTGTTAGCTGCCTACACCTCCTTTTACCTTTCTAGGTTCCTAATCCAGAAAACTGTGTTCTGCAAATATGTACAAGCAAGCCTCTGGCAGAGGAAAGGTGAGTGTAACAAATCTTTCCCATATTTCATATTAATGTAACAGAAAGTAATGGCTCCAGCACGGCAAGTCTATTCAGTCAGCTTGCTCCCTGAATGAGAAGCATCTGTTGGTGAAATACAGGGTTCCTGTGCACATAGGAATAAAGCATAATGCTAGCTGGATATCACATCGCTGATCTGAAACTCAGCAACAATAAGGCACTCTCCAATACGAGTGTCTGCATCGCACAACCCATGCCAAGGCAGTACCTTATTGCAACAAGGAAAGCGCAGAATTTGAAATTGGCATGAGGCTGCAGTTATGGCATGCCCCATGTTACAGACGCCTCTTCATAGCGGACAGTATGGGGCCCCCCAAGGGTCAAACCTGTTTTTCTGACTCCATTGGGGAAGTGAAGGCACAAGGACAATAAATGTTACATAATATTGCTTATGCAGGCAAGCAAGACGGTACTTGCCTTAATGTCCCTCTAGCTAACCACACGCAAACACACATTGAGTGCAATGAAAGGTGTATCCTAATATATCATGTGCTTTCAAACTCAAGTGACAACTACAAGAGAAATAATTAACCCCTTAAAGAATTTTCTTAAAGTAATAAATTGCTGTGACCCCCCTGGCAACACACAAGAGGTCAAAATCTTCTGCATCTGATGAAATCTGTTTTCGTGTATCTGTCTTCAGCACATAATCAACACTTGATGGCCGCAGAACATCGATGACAAAATGGAATACAGACAAAGCAGGTGCCTTATTGCAAAGGGACAGGTTGTTCCTGTCCTGTTAGAAGAGGACACTTGGCTTCTATGTGTCAGGGACTGTTAATGTCAGCCAATTCACCTGTTATCCTTAATCATTGCTAAAAGATCTGCAAGGGTATGTTTTCTTTTTACCAAGCTTTTTTTGGAGCATGAAGAACCAGTAACTAGATGGGGTGGGTCACAATACTAATACCAGTTAGCAAAGTGTCTCATGAGAAATCTTGAGGATAACGATGTATGGTCTCCAGTTGCTCTAGCAGGATGCAAAAGGAGACAGAATGGTATTGGTTGCCCTACAAAGGACAGATAAGTAGACCATTACTTAAAGGTACAAGTCCAAAGAAAATACTGACCTATTCATGTGTAACTGTGCATTGCATTCATATAGTATGAGCTGATGTTTCTTTGACCCATGTCCTGTCGTTTTGTTTTCCATGGCAATTTTCTTTTTATATCTTTTACAACCTCGGAAAATAATGTGCACCTTTTAACAGGTGGACGTCATTCTGCAGATCTCTAGCAATGAAGAAGGTCATAGGTTACTAGATAATTTAGAGTGGAAAGGCAGTTCCTCTCCACTAGCACCACTTGATTTGAACACAAATTCCGAGGACCCTTTCTGTGGCAAAGTGGAGTGACCTGTTAGATCTGAGCTTCCTGCTCTGGGAAATAAGGTAAAGTCAGGAGTAAATTGCTGCGGAAAATGGGGTGAGCCTGGTGCCGGCTGAGGAAGGGAGGGTTGGGACACAGAGATTGGTCGACCATCTTGCCTGAGTCTGCTTAGTGGTAGAGATATGCAACTGCTAGGGTGGGAGGAAATAGGAGCGGTTTGAGGAAGGAGAAGCGACCGTGAAGAACCACACACTTGAGTGGTTCGAAGGGGGCCTGGACTGAGTGCTGAGGGTGAACTACTAGGAGAGTCCAGTCTCTGTAATGGAGGTGGTAATACCCATAGTGGCTCTGAAGCTCCAGGTAAAGGGGGACCTGGTGAATTGGCTTTTGGGCCTTGACATTGTCCAGAAGAGACAGCCGGGAGCTGCTGATCAGATGGTCTTGATTGACTTAATGAAGAACCTGCTCCTGGAGACCACTGTGAGGTGTCAAAAGCAGCTGCAGTGGAGGAGCTGGGGTGCTGCTGCTGTGTAGCACCCTTTTCAAAACAGGGCACAGTAAAGAGTGGTCTTGGACTTACGCAGGCTGCAGCTGAATAGCCTGCTAGTTGGTGTACATGAAAAGAAGATTGCTGGTTTAGTGATCCATCTGCTGCTAGATGTGATGAAAAAGGCTGTCTCTGCAGATGATGGAATCCACGTGCTGATACACCCAATGCAGAGGTTGAAGGTCGGAAGATGTTAGCTGGCAGACGCTGGTGAGTTAAAGATATAGCAACTGATGTGGTAGCTGCTGCAGCCTGTAAAGGGGCCTGGATTAGTGGTGTCCATATTACAGGAGTTGGCACAGAGTCTCCTTCAAACTGGGAAAGGCGTGGCCCTTGCGCCATTTCACGGTCATGCTGAACAATCTGCTGAATAATTTCATTCTCCTGGTAATTCAGAACCCCGGACCGAAGGTCATGCTGGACTTTATGCAGAAGGATAGAGTTCTTTTTGCCTAAAAAAAAAAAAGAAAAAATAGTTTTAGCAACCCCACATGCAACAAATAGAACACCCATCACAGGGATCACAATGTATGTAGCCTTGCTGAAAGTTTTACACACTTACCATAATAAGGTGCGCGCATTTCTCAGAAACATTATAAATATTTCATATCATAAAAATTGCAGGGATCTTTATAGAAAATGATCTTCTTTCTCATATAAGCCACTAACATTTACGCTACAGCTATCAAAAAAGAATTGTGCTCCAGATGGTGTGCCCAAAAAGAAGGAGCAGGCAGAAGGCAAAGGCCCCAGTATTGCCTGTGGTCTCCCTGTAGCTGATCTTTCCCATTACTGACCTACCATGACTTGCTCTGCACTATCTCTGTGTGGCGGGGGCCATCTTGGCACAAGTAGGGCTTTGCTTCCTTACGTCAGATCCTCCAGTAAGGAGACCAGTGAGCATCATCACCTTTTAGATTGTAAGCCCTCAGGGGCAGGGCCCTCCGTACCATCTTGTCTTGAATTGTGTTGTAATTGTAATGTCTTCCTTATATTGGAAAGCTCTGCGCAAACTGTTGGAGCTATATGAATCCTGTATAATAATTACATCACCAAATCTCATTCCAAACTGCAGATATACAGCTATGAGGCTACAGAACAGGAGTGCCCCGGCACAGTCACATACCAGGAAGTGCACTGCTATTTTTCAGAAGGAACTCCAGACAAAAAGTACATTTTTTAGGCCACCGGTTAGGCACAATTAACCATTTTAAATTTTCCCAATTAACTGCTTTCCGTCTGCCCGTTGTGAAAAAACGGACGGACGGCAAACTCCTATTGGCGGGTTGCCGTAAATAAACAGCTTATTTTTTTTCTGCTCTCGCGCACGGACTAGTGTGTGCACGGGCAGAAAAACCCTTCCATTGCAAACAGCTGTACCGGCTGTTACACATACAAGCGATTGGCGGCTCTATAGCTGTCTGATCGCTTGTATGTGCTGCCTGTGCGCACCCCCCCACCCTCCACAAGTGCCGCCGTCTCTCGCTGTCCCCCCCCCCCCTTCCTGCACCCTTACCGGGACCGGCTCGGGAGGGGGTTCTGGAGGAAGATATGATAGAAATCAGCATCTTCCTCCTTGCTGATCTCCCTCCGTACCGTGAACGCGGAAGTGATGTGTAAGGGCCTGTTCACACGACGTCCATTTTCTGTGCTTACCTGATCCGTGCGCTCCTGCACTTAAAATGTATCCCTATGTGTTTTATGGGCTACAGTTCTCACGTGCGCAGTCCGTTCAGGTTACGACAAAAAAATACTGCATGTCACATTTTGTATGGTCAGGAAACGGTCCGGAAACGCAAAGCGCGTTAAAAACGTGTCAATAACGCACTGCAGCTAACATACCGACAGCCCCACTCCAGCAAAAAAGTGTAAAAAAAATTTGTTTTAAACTGGAACGCATCAAAAGCGCGGCAAAAACACATAGCACTGCGTCTGCAGATCCGCACCTGATCCAGACCTGAAACTCATGTGAACAGGCCCTAAGGCTGGGTTCACACCTAGGCGTATCGAATATGCGCGTTTGTACCGCGATTCGTGGTAAAAAACGTGCGACAAACGTGTTTCCGAGGGCTACCTGGCTGTATCCCAATCGATACGCACGGCAAATACACCCCAAAGAAGCTCCTGTACTTCTTTGGGTGTAGGGCGTTTTGCAGCGTGTTCCTACGCGCTGTAAAACGCCCAGGTGGGAATCATGCCCATAGGCAATTATTGGTTTTCACATGTTGAGCGTTTTACAGAGCGTAGTAACGCGCTGTAAAACGCCCAGGTGTGAAGCAGGCCTAATACATCACTTCCGCATTCACCTGTCATTTCTCTGGCTCCTATAGCCAGAGAGAAGAAGCTGATGAAGCAGATCTCTGCTTCATCAGCTTCTTTGGGGGTCCCAGGTGACAGTGGTCTTGGAGACCCCTAATGTCTCCATAAAGAGGACCTGTCAGTGTGCCATCACATAGGGGGATTGTTATTCCCCTATGTGATAGCAAAAACATTAAGTGCTAAAAAAAGTATAAAAAAATAAAAAAGTCACATATAAAAAAAAGTAAAAAAAAAAAAAAATTTACGTTTCCCCACCCCCACGTTTACGCACATATACGCGTCAGGCGCGCCAGGGTGTGAAAACGACAATTGTGCTACACATGTTACATATTGCCAATATGTATCTTATTTCTGAATCACTCGGCTGTAGATCCTCAAATCATCTCTGAATTGTTGCTGACACTGTCTGTCCTTCTGGAGGGTGGCTACTTGTGTTCCCCATGGTTCCTGTGTGTGTTGTAAAGTAGTCACTGCTCCAAGCTCCCTCCTGTGATGGACTACAATCTCATGATTAGTTTACTCATTTGTATTAAAATTGTAGTCCATGTACTGGCTGAACCCATACCATGTAAATGTGGCTCCAGTAGGGAGCAAGCTTGGAGCAGTGACTTTACAACATATCCCTTAGGGCCGGGCTAGGTGTTAGTGACCGTGACCGTTCACTCACCTGTATAAGTAGCATTTATATACTTATCTTTTGGCTGGTTAGTGCATTGGATTGGAGTGATGCAGGAGGAACCAGAATGGCTGGAGGGGGAGCAAGTATTCTCACACCCAGAAGTGTATAATTATAATACATGCAGATGGTGGGGGGTGAGAAACATAAGTGTATAAAGTATATAAACACTTCTTTTACCAGTGACCTCTTGTCTAAAAATGACCCTGTGGGGGCACAAGTTACGGGTTCAGGAAGGATGAAGGTTACATCTTATGACACTTTGCAACATAGGCACAAATGTTAAAACTTCAGGGTTTATACTTGTTCTTCAACATTGAAAAGGACTAAATCGATGCTTCCAGCGCAAAGACCTTAATGTGCCATCTGTGACCTATACATGGGCGCCTGTACAGAAAAAAATATGGAGACCTAATCTCTCCTGAAAATGCTACTTGCCTGGCTGTCATGACGATCCTACATATTAAGTACTGTCTGCATCATTGACTCAAAACTAGCTTGTAGATACATTCTGACATCACTGGTTTTTCTTACTGCAAGTTTGTTCAGAAAGCCAAACAACTGGCATTCTCAGAAGAAGGTTCGCAATGGTACATATTTCTCTCAGTTCAGGTGAGGTTCCCAATAACAAATGGGAGTTACTAAAGCAGTTGGCTGAAAAAATTCCCTACAGATTCCTTGCATTGATTTCTAAAGTTATGCAAAGGTTTGCTGCTTATGATGTAATGTGAAAATGTGCTGCTTCTGAATGAAATTAAAAATACAGCCTGGCAAGATTTACTGTTCTGACACGTATGACCTGACTCACACATACATACATTGTGAGCAATGTTGGTTATTCATACTGTCCACCAGGGGGCAGTAACAACAAGAGCAATACACAAATATTACTCCATAATCTAAAATGTGATTACTGTAAAGGAAGGAAGTGGATTCCCACTTCAAGCAGAAATTTAGGTCCATTTATATGTGTAGTGCACAGCTTAGGCTGGCCATATATGACTCAAAAACAACTTAATTTGCCCAGTCTGGCAATGATAGGGTTATATATGGGATGCAGGCACAAGAGTAAGATTTCACATGTACAAAGACTACATTTGCACACTCAATGATCTCAGGTGACCAACTGTTACATGTTATCTGCTTGCTGCATTATACACACTGACCAGCCTCTTGTTTCTTACTGTTGCCTGATACCTAGTTTGTCTATTGCCTGCCAGATTTTCCACAAAAGATGTAATATAGACCCATTGCTTTTTTTCATACTTTAGTCATGTTTCTTAAGGCTGATCCCTGGGAATGCTGTCACTCCTGCCCACCCTATTCCTACTACATAAAAACCCCTTTTACCTAAAATATATGGTTACCTGATACACCTGCTCCCAAGTTTTTTTTATTCCTCACTGCAGAATTGGAGGGTCTTTGGGTGTCAATGTCACTAGCTAGGTGATGTGAACATTTTCTAATGGATGTCCTCTCAGGCTCCAGAAGACTGAAGCTGCCAGATTACATCACCATGAGGGGACCAGGTGGACCCACAGACTGCAGTGCTGGATCCTCAGTCCCCACTCCCAAAAGAGGTACCAGTGAGGGACACTTCTGTTGTTTTAGCATTGCTGCCACAGCTACCACTGCTTTGGGTTGGTCAGCTTTCTTAACCACAATGAAACCCATATGTAGGTATTGGTCATCTTCTCAAACCGACAAAAATGGACTAGGCTGGGCTGTGCCTACATGGTATAGCCTGGATTAAAACATTTTTTTCCAAATTCTCCTCCTATACTTTTGTGATCTGTTAGTGTAGATTAGTCAGCTTAGCTGTGCTGGCTTTTGTACTCTAAGTGTGAAGTGATTATTCCTAGTCACATGCTGTGTTGGGTGTCTATCGGCAGGGTGTGCTAGAGATAACACTCCACATGAAGGATGTCTAATGCCTGGCCAATCAGTAGGTCTGGGGAGCCTGCTGTGCACGCTGGTAGAGCTATTAAATATCTGAGGCACTTCCCTCCTGTCTTTCCCTCCAGGGTGTTTCCCTAAAACACTACTAAACTAGGGCCCAGGCCTATGGAAGATGTGAGGATCTCCCAGTCTGGGAGGTGTCCTTAAGATGCTGGCTGCAATTAATCCTGGCCTAGAGGAAGCAAACTGCAGGTGTCCCCCACAGAGATGGTGAGTGATGGACTGAGTTTCGGAAGCAAACACTAGAACCTTTCACTGCTGCCTTGATGTAACGACTGAGCATACACAGTATCGTTTTATAGAAGAAGGAACCAGAAAGATATATATGTATATAAAAACTAGAGGAATATGCTTTGTTATACCAAAAAGGGTATCCTGTGCTCCCTCATCCTCCTATCTTTATTCTCCATGCACATGCAACACTTCTCAACTGGGGGTCACGCTTGTACACCACAAGGCCCAGCTGGCTGGAGGCACTGTCGCTTAAAGATATATCCA